AAAGTTCAAGCATGGGTATTCTGACCACAACCAAAATGACTCTTTATTAGAGTTTTACATGTGTATACGTAAATGTATATACACATAAATGTACTTTTTAAACTAGATCTACCCCCTTGAGTGTAGATTTTCTGTTACTCTGCATCGATATTTTATTTACTCATTGATGAATAAGCTGATTAGAGTATAGAAATATTAGAAATATAGCTCCCTGAATTTTCCTTCTGACTCATTTAGCTTGGTAAAAAGTTTCTAATAGGGCATTAAAGGGGCTTCTTGGAAAAATGCAAAATAAAAAAAGATAAATGCTTCTAAGTTTAGTATCTATCTGTACCTGTCTGAAGGCATTTGCTAGTATATTTCAGTTTGAAAACTGACTATAATTTTTTTTTTTTTGGTGAGTATGGTACAGTTACCTTTTTATTTGTGCCAGACTTTTTAAAATACMCTTTTTTTTAGTTGTCAGTGGATCTTTATTTTATTTATATGTGATGCTGAGGATTGAGCTGACTGCTCTCACATGTTAGGCAGGCTGTCTATCACTGTGCTGCAACTCAAGCCCTGTGCCAGACTTTTAATAAGATAAAGTACAGTGTAATAAGAAAGCAAACAATCACAACCCAACAGAACTAAAAGTATTCTGTTTACTTATTTTCTTTTATTGGTGAAAAAATTGGGACTTCAGTTTTGTCAAGGAAACTATTTTCAAGACAACCTGAGATTGATATCTTCTCAGACTTTCAAAAAAAAATGTGTTGTTTATTGTCAGCAAATGGCTAACATTTATTTTTTGTTGTAGTATTCACTTTTTTAGGAAGTGACTTCTGTCTGCAGCAAGCAGAGTGCTGACCTTTAATGTGCTTGCTAGTCACTTCTCTTAGAAAGGTACCAGTCTAATACTACAAATGCTGTGAATTTGGTTGAAAATATATGCTAGCCTGATTGTTTTCTTTCTGGAGATTCAAGTTTTCTGAGACAGAAAATTTGTGTTTTCCTAAAACTGACATTGAGTTGGCTACATCTGAGTTGGCTAGTGTGTGGGTAGAGAATCTGGTTTGAGTCAAATAAGTAAAATTGGTCTCTGGATGCTGCACCTGGGAACTTGGTAAAATGAAAATTCTTTGACCTAGCCCTAGAAGAATCAGCCTTAATGATTTCAGAATTCTGAGTATAGGGCTATCAAGCTGTTCAGGTAATTCTGAGGTCTGCTAAAATATTGAGTACTCATGTATTAAACTTTAGCTTTATCAGTTGTAAAAAGAAAGCATGGGGTTTTAAAGTTACATGTGTGTTGCTAATAATGTTGATGAAATCTGGATAAAGTAAGAGCATTGTAGCTGGAAGATCTTTGAACCCTGCTGTGTGACTTCTTTACCATAATGTATTGGGCATCTCTGAGCCTTGGTTTCTTCATTTATAAAGTATTAGGAATTGTAGAAATCATGAATCAATGTTGTTGTATTGGGCATTCAATAAACATTAATTTGAAAGCTCCACAAAACTAAACTTAAAATCAAAAATAGATATCCACTTGGGAGAATTATAATTTTCAGTGGAAGAAAAAAAATCAAGAAGTATACAAGCTTTTTCATAATTGCTGCTGTAATTTTTTTTTTAATTTGGTATTAGGGATTGAACTCAGAGGCACTTTACCACTTAGACATATCCCCAGCCCTTTTTATTTTTTATTTTGAGACAGTCTCACTAAGTTGCTTCCGGCCTTGCTAAGTTGCTGAGGCTGGCCTGAAACTTGTGAYCCTGCTGCCTCAGCCTCTTGAGTCACTGGAATTACAAGCGTTTGCCACTGCACCTGGCTCTGCTGCTGGACTCTTTCTAGAGGTTCTAAGCTATTTTGAGTAATTCATATYCTTAACTATAGTCATGGAAACTTAAAAAAAAAAATCTGTTTTTTTTCTCCCTTTTTTATTTTTTAAAGCCCTGGAAACTTTTCATATTCTACAAGTGTTGAAAGTGTCTTGAATCCTTTAAAATCTTGTAGCTTATGTCCTGGGAATATCTATAGGCAAGTTGTCCCACTTTGTGTATATGCTTTAAGTATTTGTTAATTAAGAATATTTTAAAACAGGCAATACATTCTTATAGTTCAGAAATCAATACAAGAAAGCATTCAGTGAAAAAAAATTCTCAGTTCATTCCTGTCCTCAACTGATCCAGTTACCCTACTCTATAACCAGGTATTTTTTTTCTTTTCCTGTCTCTCTTCCTAGAATTTCTTAATGCAGATATTAAAAAATGAGTAATTATTTTTTCCTTACCACAAAAGATAACACTGTTCAACACTACATAGATTCTTGAGTTTCTTTTCAGAGTGCCACATGATTCTATTTTTTTCCTGATCTATTGAAGACTGTATATAGTTAAATTGAATCCAATTTAAGTGAATAATTTGATGAGTTCTGACAGTCATATACCTGTTAAAGTTCTATCATAGTTAAAATGCAGAATGTTTCTGCATGATTTTTCTTTCATTGCTTCATAGCATTTCATTGTATGGATATATCATAGTTTTGTTTGTTTTTTTGGCACTGGAGATTAAACCCCGGGGAGCTTTTCCACTGAGTTATATAACCAGTCCTTTTTATTTTTTATCTTAAGGCAAGATCTTGCTAAATTGCTAAGGGTCTTGCAAAGTTGCTGAGGCTGACCTGGAACTTGTGATCCTCCTGCCTCAGCCTCCCAGTTGCCAGGTTTACAGGTGTGTGCCACTGTGCCCCGCTATACTATAGTTTTTAAAACTATATATTAACTGATGAACACTGGATGCTGATACATGTTTGCATTTAACAACCTTTGCAGCATTTTATATGTAGGCAAATAAATCTAAGGATGGGTTCCCAAATGTGAGATAGCTGAGCTAAAGAGAAAATACATTTGCAATTTGGTAGATGTTGCCATTATGCCCTTCAAAAGAGTATCAATTTGACCTCTGTAGGGGAGAAAAAATAATTTTCCCTCTACCCTATTAAGGTCTTGGTTGGGATATTTTTAACAAAAGATTTAAAAGAAAAGCAAGTCTATTAACTTATATATTTCTCATGTACATAGGAGACAACTCAGGGAAAGAGTAACTCTCAAAGAAGTTGCTTAAAACTCAGCTTATGTAGCATCTTTAACAAAGAACATAAATTTTAGAGATGACAAGAAAAAAGAAAAAGACCTTGAGTCTGTAGGGGTTGCAAATTGTAAGAAGATAGATATATGTGGAGCTAATGATAGATAAAGTCTARTTAGTAGGCAAGTTTGTTACATGGATTCTTCTGATATGCCATCTCCAGGCTGATAAGGGTCTAGAGTTGTTTTGGGGAGGAAATTCMTTCTTACAGAAAGAAGAAGGCATACCTTTGTAAACTCAAGTCCTTCCTATAGGCACATAGCGGGAGAGCAGAGAACTTTTTGTTTGTATTTGCTGCTTCTTAGTTGTCTTCAGTCCAAAATAATTCTTATACCAGAGTGGTGTGTTTGCAGTTGACATATTTTATACCCTCAGTTGCCCAATAGCAATCTATGACAGTGCCTATTTCCCCACATAGCTAAGAAAACACATTATTAAACCTTGTATTTTTGCCAGTGAGGTAGAAAATGGTATTTACTATAACTTTAACTTGTAGTTTTCTTATTAAGAGTGAAATTGAATTTATATCAATTTGTATGTTTGTATGTTATGTTATTTGTATGTTGAAGGATGGGCCATTTATAATATTTAGTTTTCTTTAAAGTATCTGAACACTTTATTGTTCTGTTGGACTTAAGGTTATCTTCTCTTAATTTCTAGGAGCATTTTATATATTCAGGAATTACTTCTTTCTTTATAGATAATATCCCCCGCCCCCCCATTATAATTTGCCTTTGTCATTGCAGTAACTTTAGTTAAAGGGTGTGTATCTAAATTTTTTAGCTGCTTGGAATATTTTCCTAAATATTGCTTAGCTTTGATTACTTTTCTTCCTCCTTCCTTTCATTTCTTCCTATTTTTCTCTTATTTTCCCTCCTAGCCTAATTTCTTAAAGAAGGATTTGAGACAGCTTGAAGATTATTTGTTGTTGAGTAATAATCAACTCAYTGGGTAAATGTTGTTAAATGATTTTAATATATATGATCCTGGTTCATCTTTTTTGAAGGCCATGTTTTTGGTATATTCTGCATTGGAGAAGGAACCTGTGCCAATGGCCTTGCCTCCAGCCTTGGTGCCACCTTCTAAGAGAAAAACGGTCAGTATATCAGGCTCTGTGCGGTTGATCCCCTCTTCAGCATCAGCCAAGGAATCTTACTACTCCTTACCACCTGTAGGCATTTTACCTACCAAAGCACCATTAAGACAGGTATAGATTTATCAGTGTTAAAGGATTTTTCTTTTAGCAAAGTGCATGTCATTTAACAGTTGAATTACTTTATAAGGTTAGAGAAAACTGTTAAAGGGATCGAAGACTTAGAGCTGCCTTTGGTTGAACTTACATAATGAGACGTTCCAGAGGAGTCATATTCTTTTGTATTGCCGTAACTCATATGTAAAGCTCAGTGTTTCATTGGCTTTACTTATATCTGCCTGGAATTGGAGATGGTAGATGCTACATGCTAACATGGCATACTTGTCGTGGCATAATTAATATTTGGTTTTGCTTGATCTTCAGTTAACTCTTGATTCTTTGGGATCTGATTATCCAATTCTAGTTTGTCCAGGACCTTTTTCTCCCTCTGACCTGCCTCTTGTCAGGTTGAGTAAAGCAAAGTGGTGACAGGATCTGCAAATTCCAGTTTGGCTATAGTTAATAATACTGGATGGAGCTATAGAAAATGAAGATTGAGAATCATATGAATATTTTATTTCCCAGTTACTTGTGTTAATGTGRGATTTCCTGGTCAAGAGTTAACTGTGCTTGAGTTTACTCATTACTTAAAAGAAAAAAAAAAGTTAAAATGGGCATCTATATGTATATAGTCCCAACTGATCTGTATTTTTTAAATTTTCTCTTCACCACAGCATTTTGGTTACTATATGATGGAAGAGACACACTGTTGTGGTTAGTGGGATAGACTTGTTCAGAATATGATAGATACTGTCAGGGGTTGAAAGAGTGACACTTCAAAGTTTTTTTCATTTTGGCAGAAATACTGTTTTTCCCCCCTCTCTAGTGGGTTGTATCCCCTGCAGAAAAAGCTAAGTATGATGAAATCTTCCTGAAAACTGATAAAGATATGGATGGATTTGTATCAGGATTGGAGGCCCGTGAAATTTTCCTGAAAACAGGCTTACCGTCTACCTTACTGGCCCATATTTGGTAAGACTTTATTTTATTTAAAGGGATTTTAAAAAAAATATATATGGTTTTGTGTGGGGTCTAGTTTTGTGCACTCTTAACTTTAGTCATTTTTGCAAGCAGGATAGTTTTTGTTTCCGAATTTTTTCTAGAGAAAATTTTAAATCTGAAGAGTTCTTCTGAGTAATTGACAAAAGCTTGAGTATAGGTTTCTTGAAATTTTATAAGATTGAAAGTGTCAATTGTTATTAGAATGTTAAAATTCACCATTTGTTTATCTTGAACTTAAAATTTTAATGGAGATTCAAAATATGTGAAATATAAGCAATCTAAGAAACAGTGTCTTTAAGGCTTACTTGTATAATTCTATAGAGTATATGTATACTTTCACACTTCATTTAACACATTCCATCATTTAAAAATACAGATCCTTTTCTGGGTGTGGTGGTACATGCTTGAAATCCCAGCTACTCGCAAGGCTAAGGCAGGAAGATCACAAGTTCAAGGCCAACCTGGGCAAATAAGCAAGACTCTATCTCAAGGAAAAAAAAAAATGGGGCCAGGGGATGGCACTTGGGAGGTAGCTGAGTACTAGAGCATTTGCTTAGCTTGTGTAAGGTCATGGGTTCAATGCCCAGTACCCCGATTACTCTCACATGAGACACAATTCAGTGTATTTATTTTTCTTCTTTTATTTGTTTTTTTTTCAACTCAGTGTTTTAAATGAATTTATCATTAAATGTGATATTGTATATGAGCATGCTTTGAAGTGTGCCTCCTACCAATCCAGCTAACTATTACCAGAAGTAATTTTGAGGTTTTCAAGAGGTAGCAGATATCAGAAGTGAAACAAAATAGTTGCAAAGAGAAAACTTAGAAAAGAACAGAGCAGGGTGGTAGATCTGCCTTAAAAGGGACAAGTATCCCAAACTGGGAAAAATTAAACATGCATAACTAACTTTTTGAGTGCCTACATTAGGCATAATACTCAATAAATAGCAGCTGTCACAGTTGGGCTTGGCATTTTGTGCAGACTTTTAATGTATCTAATCTTTAATTCTCATAGTAACCTTACAGGATGGGTATTATCTCCATTTTATAGATAAGGAAWCTAAAGCTTAGAGAGGTTAAAAAGCTTGGTTCAGGTCACAAGAAGGAAATAAATAGAAATGCTGGAATTTTAAGTCTGTTTGATACTGTGACCTGTAGTCTTTTTATCAGGCTATGCTGGCTCTCAAATAATTAAACAGATCGAGACTATTTATTTATTAAGCTAAGTCTTAATAAATGAATGAGTCAAAGAAAGAAAATAAGATGAAACATTGTGTTTCTCTTCAAGTGATTTTGTAAAGCTTTCCAGATTGCTGCCTTCTCACATGTAATCTCCATTTGCAGCTGTTCTTTCTGCTTTGGCTTAGAGATCCTTGTGTCCTCCTATTCCAAGAATTTCAGGAAGCAAGCTGACATGGAAATTTTTCCTTGTTTTGGATTTGTTAAAGTGCCATTAATGAACTAAATTTTCTGAGACTTAGGTTTCATTTTTAACATCTTTTAAAGTTAAAAATTTGAGGAGTTTGGAATGTTGGGATTCTTTGGCTCACCATAACATTTACTCTGTRGTGGTTCTGGGAATTAATGAGAAAGCACAAAGTAAACCAAATTAGTGAGGCCTCTGCTGAGCACTAGGGTGAACATTCTCTTTCTACAATCTTATCTGTCTCTTCTGGCATTTGAGTGAATTTTAGACAAGCTGCAAGTTGGTGTTACTGTCTTTTAAAAAATTCAACCAGTTGTTTTTAAAAAGGTACATAGTTGGATTATTCTTTTTCCTTTTTTTTTTTTCTTTTGGTATCGGGTATTGAACTCAGGAGTACTTGACCACTGAGCCACATTCCCAGCCCTATTTTGTATTTTATTTAGAGACACCGTCTCACTGAGTTGTTTAGCGCCTCACTTTTGCTGGGACTGGCTTTGAACTTTTGATCCTCCTGCCTCAGCCTTCTGAACTGCTGGAATTACAGGCATGCACCATCAGCTGTCCTTGAGTTTGAGGATGGTAGTTGTTGCGCTTATATACTGTTCTTTTTTGTTTGTTTGTACAGGGCATTATGTGACACAAAGAACTGTGGGAAACTTTCAAAGGATCAGTTTGCCTTGGCTTTCTACTTAATCAATCAAAAGTTAGTAAAGGGCATTGATCCTCCTCAYATTCTTAATCCTGAGATGATTCCACCATCAGACAGGACCAGTTTGCAAAAGGTAAGACAACTTAAAAGAAAATCCGAATGCATTAATAGAAAGGAACAAGTGTCCTGTCAAATTATAGAGTTGATTTGAATGGAATAGTAGAAATATGTATCTGGCTAGTAGTATAGCACTACATAGTTTGTAGTTTAATTGGTGCTTATAAAGATGTTCATGTGTGTCTTATATAACATCCTTAGTCTGTATCTTGTTTACCCAACTATTCATTACATATATGACAACTATATTTTCCAATCTTAAATTGGAAGAATTCAGTCTTATTTTTCCCTTCATGGATTTGTGAATTAATTTTTATGAATAAAGTATGAAAACTAAATGAAGGCTATTAAATTATTGTGTTCCATTTTATGGCTCACTCTTAAAGGAAACAATACAAATTTGGAAAAAAATTATAGGAGATAATAATTGCTTGGTGTCAATTTTATAATCAAAAAGCCCTCAAGAAAACATTATGTTGAGTATACATCTGTGTGTGACTTGCCATAGATGACCCTTCATTCCTGAGTTTGCATATCTGAACAGTTAAAAGCAAGTTTTAGTTATTTGGGGTTTTGGGCCAGTAGTGGGAATTTCCAAAACTTCATTATTTCAACCATATTGTGCCTTGATTTTCTCACATTATCTAGAAATTCTTCCTGCATAGTACATTTTTATGATTTCTTGGCTTGTAATGGACCTTTAAAGGTACTTGCATATGGGCTGTAGCTGTAGCTCATTGGTAGAGCGCCCGCCTTGCACATGTGAGGCACTGGGTTCGATCTTCAGCACCATATAAAAATTAAATAAAGACATTGTGTYCAACTACAACTAAAATTWWAAAAAAAAGGTACTTGCATACTGTAGTGTCTGTTTGCCTTTAAAAATAAATGTGTAGCGAAATGTATCTGTAGTCCTAGCCCATGGGATGATCTCTTGAGCTCAGGTGTTCAAGGCCAGCCTGAGCAACATAGCAAGACTTTTTCTCAGACAAAGTAAACAAAAAACAAAACTATATTTAAATATGGCTTGTAAAATAATCATTGGTGTGGTAATTTTTTCAGGATTGTTTAAAATAGGAGCTGTCAAATGTGTGCTATGTATAAGGAGGTTCTCTTTCAAATATCAATATAAAATGAGTGAAAGGACGATCAGTTGAGTAAGGAAGGAGAATGGCGGGGAAGAAGAAAGGAAGGGCAAATGGCAAAGGTGGGCAGGGGTAGTAGGTGGTGACGTGACAGAAATTAAAATTCACTTCTGTGCATATGATTTTATTGAGTTTAACCCAACAACTATGCATCTCTATAATGCTGTAATTTAAAAAGTAAATATAATGTTTTGGTTTTGCATTAATTTTGTAACAAGGGTTTAAAAAATCCCATTTTAACCTAATAAAAAGTCAACATTGGATTTTTTTCCCCTAAGTAAACTAAATGAAATTTACTGCCACTGGATATAGAGAGCTACTTATAGGAGTATTTTTTTTTTAAAGATTGGTGTGATTTTTTTTTATACCTGTATTTTATTTATTTATTTTTACGTGGTGTTGAGGATCAAACCCAGTACACATGCTAGGTGGGTGCTGTACCGCTGAGCCCCAGCCCCAGCTTCTTGTTCTTGTTTTTAATAAAATAAAAATTTTATTATCTGTTTTGTGAGGGTCTTTTTTGATGGGGGTTGGTAGTACTTTGTGAATTTTTAAAAATTGTTTTTGTTAAAGATAATATTACTGAATTTGTATTTATGTCTTGTGCTATGTAACTGTATTTCAGTTATAGAATACTGTGTTGGCTTATTCTCTCACACATTTAGATTTTTTTCCATGCCTCCTTTATATTATAACTACTAATAAGACTTTCACCAACACAAAATTATGACAGATTTCTGAAGCAAATTGTTCACTGAAATCTCTGTAATGTTAGTAGATATTTGAAGTTGCATCTGGGTATACACAGTTTTTAATTTAGTAGGTTTATCTGAAGTCTGTTCACTAGAACATAGAAAACTTTTTGTCAGTTTTGTGTTGGATATCAGCATTCATCGAAATGGGATTTTAACACTGTTGACTTATCTATTAACCAAAAATTTAATACTAAAATAAAATTTGCATTCATTTATCTTTCAGATCATCTCTTTTATCTGTATAATCGATTTTTTTAAATACGGCTTTTTTTTGGGGGGGGGCAGCTTTGACTAATCCTTTTGAATGTTGCTTTCCTTTCTGTGTTTTTCTAGTTTGGACTATTTTTTCCATTCTGCAGCACTCTGCTTTTCGCCTTTCTTGTACTGTCAGTTTCTTAACTCTACTCTCCCTCAAGGTTAGAGCTTTATTTTATGCCTTTTTTTTGTAGCCTTACAGTTTTTGGTTTACACTATACATTTTGAAATTAGAAGTTTTTTATGAGCAAAGTTGATGCAGAGAAAATAACCTAAACAGTATGCTTTTGTTATATATCACTTGGTCCTTGTGTATTTTAGCTTGCCTTCCCTGGGCTCTCTGATCCACTTAAAATCATCAATGTGGAATTTTTGTGTAATGCACAAAACAGGGTGAGAGAAAATATGTTGAAAGTTTTACTAATTACATTTTTCTTCAGATACCTTCCAAATGTTGTATATAATAATAGCTGAACTTTTTTCTTGCTTCCTGGTTTTGTGCCATTCTAGTCATCTAAGGTATTACCTTTTACTTATTTGAGGTTAAACCAATTTGTCTCATTCTGTCTTCTTAATTAATGATATTTTATTAGGAAAGATGGTCAAATATGAGTCACTTGTAAATTAGAGTGACAGAAGAGGTGTGGGAGTCATGTGTTTTTGGATGTGCTTGCACCTCTGATAGCAAATTTCTCAGTAGCATTTATGTGTAGAAGTTACTCTTGGCGWTGAAAGTGAGACCAAGTGCTATTTTTTTCATTTTATTTACTTGTTTGGCTGTCTTGTGTGGCTTAGCTAACCGGACAAGTTTAAACAGTTATAATTCTAGGGAATAACTGTCACATTCAGAAATCTACTTTAATACTTCTAATTTAATATGGCATTAATAAGAGTTTCGTGTATCAGTGAAGTACAGTAAAACAGTATATTTGATATGAATCTAAAATATAAAATTGAAAATATCATTAACTGAATTTTCATAGATGAATTTTCAAATTGATAGTCAAAACAGCTCAGTGCTAAAAATGCAATATGGCATTAAAAAAAACAGAAGGAATTATTTGCCAAATTTTGTGGATCATCAAGTTTACTTTTAACATATACTTTTAACATGTACTTAATGATCTTGACATGCAAGTGCCAAGGGGCATAGTGTAAAATGGCACTTGAATTTAATCAGAAGACTCTTGAATTAGCTGTTAGCTAAATTTGTGCAGCCATTGAATCTGTTTCCTTAGCTATATAATGGGGTTAATAATAATATCTGCCCTACCTTCTTCCCTAACAACCCACTTTTTATATTAGTTTTTGAGAATTGACCAATGGATTTGACAGTGCTTATGAATTACAAATGACCATATAAATGTGAAGTATAGGATATTGTTGTGCAAGTTGATGACATAAGTTCATAAGAATGTAATTTTTAATTCTACTGAGTTTTATATTTTACTAATACRGTCATCAATATATGTAACATTTTAGAAATGTGATTATTTTGTTATTTGTCATTCTCGTTATAGCACTGGGTATAAAGTGTTTTTGCTCTGACTTCAACCAGCCATATAGAACCTCAATTATAGTTTACAAAGGAGATATATTTCATTTAATTTGTTAAATGACCAGGGGAGAGATTATTTCCCTATCTTACAGGTGAAGATCATGCAGCTAGTAAAATAGCAGAGTTGTGAATAAACTGAATTTTTTAAGCTGAATTTTCTAAGTGCAGGTATCATTTAGGGACCAATTTTTGTACCGTCATTATTGGAAGGAAACCATATATAAAGGATGTCATGTATAAAGACAGTCTTTTATGTGGTGATACTAATACTTACTATAGAAAATATACCTGAACAGTTTGTTTTTACTTTAAACAGACACTGAATGTATTTAACCAAAGTAAAATATTTATTGAACTAAGTCAACCATTATAATTCTGAGATTCAACAAAAAATTGCATACTTATTCTGTGTCAAATGATACAATTACAAACAAATCCTCCATTGATTTCCCTAAGAAATTTATACTTTGGTGGAGGAATTAGTTTATAAATCTGGTATTTGTTTTACTGCAAAATTCTGAACAGGCTAGAATCAAGTCACAAAAACTTTTGGATATGAGGYGAGGATACATTTTATAGAATAACAGCTTTTTGAGAATTTAAGGGAACTTATATTACTATATAATTATACCAGATATGATTTTATTAAATGAATTAAAAGTATTAATAATGAAGTAAAATATGTAATACCTTGTATCTGTGTATAGCTTTTAGCATTTTCAGTGCTTGGCCTTATCTAACTTTATAGTAATGCGTAATTGTGAACTKTTTTTTTCAGAACATCATAGGATCAAGTCCTATTGCCGATTTCTCTGCTATTAAGGAGCTAGATACACTTAACAATGAAATAGTTGACCTGCAGAGGTATGTAAATTAAAATTACAGGTGACTTCATATACACATCTACATAGAATATATATGTATGGTGTATATGTGTGTACATGCACACACCCTTCTGTTTCTGATACATAGTTTGGTAAATACTACCTTGTTCATCTTTACCATAATTCTATCTAAATGGAATCTTTATGCCTTATTTCATTAAATATAAGGTAGGATGTGTAGGATGTGCTTTGTATCTACATGAATTTCAATGACCTTAGTATYGTTTCTTTGAACAACAAACATGACTTGACATCCTGTACACTTAGTCTGTGCAACTTTTGGAATGTCATTACTTAGTTTGAGTTAATTTACTTTATATAAATCTGACCAAATTCTCAACTTTTTGAAAATTAGCCTTTGTTTTGTTACACAAAGCCTCTAAGCTGGACTCTGTAGCATACACTTGAAATTCCAGCAACTTGGGAGGCTGARGCAGAATGATTGTGAATTAGAAGCCAGTTAGCCATTKAGTGAGATTCTTAGCAATTTAGAGAGATTCTGTCATAAAATAGTTCAATGGTTAAGTATCCCTGGGTTCATTCCATAGGAAAACAAAACAAAACAAAAGCAAAAAAACAAAAACAAAATACCTSTAATAAACAAAAACAATGAAAAAACCTCCTTGGTGATCATATAGTCCAGTTTCTTTCTTAATCATGGGGGGTGGGGGAAATCCAATGTCACATATCAAATTACAGTTGGTGCTTGTACCAGATTGAAAAGTTCAGCATTCTTTCTTTTATATAATTTTGCCTCTTATTAAGATTTAAACATTTTCAACTTTGGTTTGAAATAGGAAAAATAAGCATTTGGTTACCAAATTTGTAATGATGTTTGGGTTTCTTATTTTCAGATAGTCCTTAAGTAATTTTGCTTGATTTGTTTATGTGAGACACATTTTATAATGGCTATATTTGAATATGTTTGTCTTTCTGTACCTATCAAGCCTGTGAAAATAGGCATATACTCCAGTGTTTTAGGATTTACTTTCTTGACGTCCACAGTAGTTCTTTAATATATGAAATACTTTTAAAAAAATATTTTTTCTTTTTTTAGTCATCCATGGACCTTTATTTTATTTATTTAAATGTGGTGCTGGGAATCGAACCCAGTGCCTCATACATGCTAGGCAAGTGCTTTACCACTGAGCTACAACCCCAGCCCAGTATAAAATACTCTTACAGTGAGTTTCAATATCAATTAGAGTATCATAATAAAATGTTCTTGCCTAAACCACCGATTGTAATGTGTGTTATATTTTGGTCAATTGAGCTTTCAGTAACTTTTAGTAACCATAATGTTCAGGGGTACCAATGTCAGTCTTTGTAGTGAATAAAAAATAACAATTTAAAAACATTGTATTTGGGCTGAGGATGTGGCTCAAGTGGTAGCGCGCTCGCCTGGCATGTGCGCGGCACTGGGTTCGATCCTCAGCACCACATACAAATAAAGATGTTGTGTCTGCCGAAAACTAAAAAATAAATATTAAAAAATTCTCTCTCGGGGCTGGGGATGTGGCTCAAGCGGTAGCGCGCTCGCCTGGCATGCGTGCGGCCCGGGTTAGATCCTCAGCACCTCATACCAACAAAGATGTTGTGTCCGCCGAGAASTAAAAAATAATAAATATTTAAAAATTAAAAAAAAATTTATAAAAAAAAATTCTCTCTCTCTCTCTCAAAAACAAACAAACAATAAAACATTGTATCTAACATTTTCTAACTGTGTTATGAAAGTTAGAAGTTTTAAAACTTTGTTAGTTTTTAGGTTATAGTCACATTTTATAAATGTTTTGATATATTAATACATGATTTGATATTCATGAAAATATTTTCTCTAGGCTTTTATTTTAGGTGAGATTTATAGGGTAGACAAACTTTCATGATCTGTCAAAGCCAGTAATGTCATAATGAATTAGTAAAATTATACTTGTTAAAATTCACTTTTGTAAAAGTGGTTTTATTTGGTCACTAAGTAGTTAGTGTATCCCATTAAAAACCTTGACTTTCATTATTGTGAATAACAGTTTTTTTTTCTGGTCAAAATTCTTCCTTTTTATGCATTTTATTTTGTGATACTGGGACTAAACCTGGGGCACTCTTCCACTTTCTAGATTCCACAGTCTAATTTTATTTTTTTTAATTTTTAATTTTAATTTTTACATTTTGAGATGAGGTCTTGCTAAATTGCTGAAACTGACCTTGAACTTGCAGCTTCCTGAGTTGCTGGGATTCCTGGTATGCAATACCACACTCAGCTGTCTTCAGCCTTTAAATCTCTTTTTGTACTATATCAGGATGTGATGTGTATGACTACAAAACAGGAAAAAAAATTTAAACAGATTTTATTTGTGGCATTTACTAAATTGTTGTCTGGCAAAATATTAGACTCTCCTCCTTTGTWGACTTTGAGATGAAGATTTAATTTTAGTCCAGGATCAGATCTACAAATAAACAGCATACATAATATGGAAAAATTATAATGAATATATGATGAATATGGCACTTTATAATACTTTTTTCCCTTGATAGTTATAATGCATATTTATTATAAACATTTGGGAAGTGGTGAAATGAACGTTTCATAGAATAATATTTTGTTTTCAGCATTGCACATCAATGGAAATATTGAAGGCTATATATGTAACTTGGGAGTTAGTTGGGTAAAGAATATTCTTTATTAGAGCTGAGAAAGTARCTCAGTGGCAGATTTCTTGCCTAGCACATGCAAAGCCCCAGGTTCAATCCCCAGTGCCACAACAAACAAAAGAACATTCTTTGTTGCTGGTCAGAAATGAGACATTGTGWTATCATCTCTAGTTCACCAGATTATTTCTAATAGAAAATATAAAACATTAATAGCTTTTGCTTAAAGTAGGAAAAGCAATGGTTGTAATATAATACTCTCATCAAATACCTGGATCTCTTGCTGGAGGTCAGGACATATATTTTTCATTGTCYACTGTGTTTTCATCTGAATTTCTAGGGAGGCATGACTTTCTAATCTGCCTGACTGCTATCCTGTATTTCCCTTTCTCAGTGACATCACCATTCAACCAGTCACTCAAGCTAAAAACCTGAAATTTTTTTTCCCTCCCATTTWAAAAATTTTGTGAAATATTTCTTGAACTCCTTCCTACCTTCCCATATCCTTTCCCTAACCAGCTCCTTCTCATCCTTTAAATCTTACCTTAGAAATTATTATCTCTAGGAGGAGAGGTCTTCCTTGACTGTATTACCTCCTAAGCCTCATACTCTTCAAATCTTATTTAAGAGCCCCTATTTACAATGGTCATAGCACATACTTACCATACTTTATTATAATAGTCTATTTTTAAAAAATCTCTCACTAGACTGTGTTTTTCAATTATAGGGATTACTTACTTGTTACTGTTGTATCCCTAGTGTTCATCTTATAGTAAATGAGAAAATAATTRAAATTTGTCTTCTCTTTCTACTATTTTTGTCTTAGTTTTAACCCTTTCCTTTTATCTGTATTACTATTATTACCTCCTGTTTGGCTCCCTGCTTTGAGCCTTTCCTTCCTTTCTTTAGACCTTTCTGCACTTACAGTTGATATATAAAATACAACCCAGATCCCTCAGTGACTCCTTCCCCAACTGGATACAGTTCACTTTCCTGAGCATGGCTTAAAGGCTTTTCCTTCATGGTATTCCCCTGGCATCCTGGCCATTCTTCTGCCTTAGCCATCTCTCATAGTACAACACCATGAAGGTTACTGAGAGCAGACTGTGTGTTTGCTCTTTCTACATCAGTGCTTAGCAGAGTAGTCTAACCCACCATTTTATATTCATCCCTTTCTCTAGCTATGGCACTATAACTATAACATGCCACCACTTTTATTCTTCTTTGCCTATGATTGTGCTTTCCTCTTTGCTTGGAACACACACCTTTTGCCTTGTAAACTTCCATTCGTTCTTCCAGGCCCARCTTAAATGTCATCTCTTCTGTTAAACCTTCCCTGAAATCTTCAGAATGTTAATTGTTCTTTTCTCTACCTCCAGAGACTTTATTCCTGTATTTTGTTACTTGCTAAGTTTCTTTTAGTAATTTATATTTCTTATTTGGGAAATTTTGAATTCCTTATCCGCAAAGTACCTGACATCATAGAATCTCAACATAGATTAGTTGATTAGTGAATGAATGAAAGTATGTTGTAAATATCAGAATATTTCTTATCAAATAAACATAATATCAAATTCATCATTAAAAAAACATTTTTAGTTGTAGATGGACACAATACCTTTATTTTGTTTATTTAGTTTTCTTATTTTTTATTTTTTAATGTATTTATTTATTTTGTGGTTGTAGATGGACAGCATTCCTTTATTTAATTTGTATATTTTAATGTAGTGCTGAGGATTGAACCCAGTGCCTCACACTAGCTAGGCAAACGCTCTACCAATGAGCCACAACCCCAACCCAAACTTATCATTTTTAAAACTCTACAGTTCAGTAGTATTAAATGTACAACCATCACCATATCACATCTTTAAAATTCCAGAAGTGCAGTTGCTGAGTCATACGGTGGTAATTGCACAACTGTTTTTGTGTTAGGATTTCCTTTGAGAATTTGATGAAGGCTATTTGTCTCTGCCCCCAGAAAAAAAGAACGTGTTTCCATCTATGTTATTTTGCATTTATTTTAGGAGTTCCTAGACCCTTAAAAACTTATATGTGGATCCATTTTTAAGAATCCTTGCTCCAAAAGTAAAATGTGTCAGATAGGGAAGTTATTGGTGGAGAAAAATGCAAAACATTTGGGAGATTGATTAAGTCACTTGGTTAGTGTAGTGGTGGTGAATTATGCTGAGGCAGGAGTTAATATTTTGCCTTCTCTTAGTGTCTACTTCCTATCTTTGTCCTTTTAGCAAGAACATCAGGAAGTAAAAGCCACATCCTGTCTTGCTTGTTCATTATCCTGGTCTTGAGCCAATAAACAGGATAGATAATTATTATAAT